CCCCCGCAGTTATAGAGCTCACTGATTAACTCGGATTTTCTTCCTAATGGCGCCAATCTGTTAGGTTTACTTGTATTCTATCCGATCATTCAAATTAGAGCGCAGACTGCATACACAGTGTGGTTCTCTTTTCCTGGAAGGGTTTGGCCATACTGTGGCCACAATGCTGAGGAGAGGCAGGGGTGGGGTGTTGGGTGAAAGGCGGCTGTCGGCTTGATCTCGGTGCTGGGGAGCCCGGCTGGAGCCCGGCTGAAGCCCGGCCGCGCGGCGTGGGTCGTGTGGGCGTGGCGAGGCGCGGTCTTCCCCTCCCCCCCTCCGCGCTGCTCCTCGGCCCCGCCCCTTTCCCTTCCCCACGCCGCGTGGGCTGCAGTGGGCTGGCTTCAGCCCCTGTGCTGTCCGAGGTCCTGCCCTAGATAAGTAACACTGCCACTATGCGACCATAAGTAACACTGCAGTGCGATTCTTATAAAAGTTCGTCTGCCACCCCCGCTAAGTAAAACACTCCTCTACGATTCACTTGCAAAATACGTAGGTCGCACACCTGCCCGCAGAACCCAGCTCGACGTAAAAGTCAAATCCGATTTGACGGCGTTTCGACGTCAAATCGACTTTCATTTCTTGCTGGGAAAAATATGCGAAATAGACCTCAGGTAGACGCGAGATAAATGTGGTGAAACAGTCGCAAAATACCTACAAAATACTGGGAACTATTACCCCGAAATCACCCAAAATCATCCAAATGAACTTTTTTTTTTTTTCAGGTGGCTGATTCACTCCACGCAAGGAGTGTGGGCGGGCTAGCCTATCGCCCCTATCCACGGCGCTTCACGGGCCGAGAGAGTAAGCAACACGCCCGCCCGCATGTAGGAATGCGCATAAAGCATAAACATTAAAATTGGACTGATTTCTGTGCAAAACGACAAGCAATCCGAAGTCTGACAACACGTACCGCGCGAGTACAGGGGGAGATCGTGGTCTCGAATAAATTTAGCACATTATTGACGTCGAGAACACGCATATTGAGCGGAATGCGCTGCTCTTGAAATAAAGTTTAACTTGCCGCAATGCAGCTTTAATTGAGTCAAGAAGATTTTATACAAGCTTTGCCGAGAAAATTTTGGACTTGGGAAAATGCAAAAATTTACTTGTGCGAAGAACTCATTTTTCTGGGCGTAGAGTGGACCGCCCGAGCCTATCCGGGCCGAGCGCTGTGCAACGCAAGCGCGACCTCTCATCTAGGCTCAGGTAGGCAAACCCGCCCGACAGCCGCGCCGCCGCGCTGCCTACCTCGCAGGGGGCCCTTGGAAGGGGCGGGGCGCCGCCTGCCCCTGCCGGCTGATCCACAGAGCGTTCAAGCCGGCGGCTGTGCGCCATCGTCACATGAGTGCGACCTTCTGAGTCAGTCGGCCGGTGTGCAGGGTATAGGATGACCCGCAAAGCAGCTCTGTGGAGACAGCGACCAGGAGCAGGAGCTGAACGACGCCGCGCTCGCCGTGCCACCCTCGCCGCTCCACACTCTCCGCCGCTCATATAGCCGCTTTCAACGCCGCGTTTAAATTCGTGTTAAAAGCCGCGTTAAACGCCGCGCTGTGACATGCTTTTAGTTGTTGGTTCCGAGTGTCGCACTCGTAAGGCAACTCCTCGCCTCGGGCAGTCGGAGGCGCCGGGGAGCGCGAGGAGCAGCGCTGAGCAAGTGGCTCAATAAGTGCTGCGCTGAGCAAGAGCCAACAGGGGCGCTAGGTGGGCTGTGGGCTAGTGCTCGGGCTTGTACAAGGAGCAGGGCGATGGCAGTTATGTCTGCCCCGCCACCGCCCTTTACAGCCTTGCTTCCTCGCTTGCTTCCCCTGCAGGTGGCCGGTGAGAGCCCCGCACGCGCACTTTACACTGTACCCATAAGCATGCATCTCCATCCATCTCAGAACTTTGGTCGCGAGGTGGGGGGGGGGGAGTATCTAGGATTTCGCCCTACGGTGCTGCATTTGTAAGGAAATTTCACGACCTTTCAAACGCACCACTGTTGGGTAAACTGCGAGATGGGGAAACACCCTAGCATGCAGAGTGCGTGGCCACGGCGTGAGTAAGACTAAGCCAAGGAAGGGCTGGTCGGCCATCACATGATCATAGACGTAGAACGAGCAGCTTATACTGGAACGTTAATCGCCAGTCTTTCCCAAAACTAGAGCGAAAATCTTTATCAGAACGGGAAACTTTACCGTTCGGGGAGAACGGACTATCGACAAACTTCCGTGCACTCATCCTTACATCTTTAGTTCACGGTGTAGAAAGATTTCTCTACACCGTGCTTTAGTTTGACAGGGCGGGTGCGAGCCTAGCGCGCTACGCCCAGCTACGCCCCTCCCCTCCCCTCCAGGCCGAGCGGCCCCGCCCAGCCGCCCCGCATGCGCCCGCGGTCGCCGGCCCTGCCCCCCCCTCCCCCTCTGGCCCGGGTGCACGTATGGTGCCGGCAGCCGCAGCCATGGACTCATGGGCACGCCTACTACCCTCTAGCCTACCCATGTGAGAGCTCTCAGCTCACCAAGGCACGCCCCGAGCGAGTAGACTGTCCATAGACAACCCGTCCACGCCCCTACCGACAGTGTAAATCAACCAACATTACCAAGATCCAGAGAAGAAATCAGAATTGATAACGGTGTAGAAGTCTGTAATTCTTTGGGGTTGTAATGCTTTACCAGGTGGCTGACTCACGCCGCCCACATTTATAGTGACACTGTACCGCATGCCATGCATGCAGGTGTGCGGGCACGTCGGCCTATCGCCCCGTTCGAGTAGGCAACCCGCCCACACGCATGCATTCGGTACAGTATCACTACGAAAGAGCGCGGCGTAAGACAGCCATACCTGGTAGTGTGATGCAGAGATACAGTTAAACTGCGTTAAATTTGCATTTCCCCTTGTTAGTCATCACTTGTTTCAAGTTGCAGTCCTAAGTTGGACATAAGATACCCCGCTCTCGCTCCGTCGGTGATTTGTGCCGCCCCTGCCGCCCCATCTGCCCTGCGGCCTAGTAGCAGAGTTACGACCGCGGAGGCCCCTCCCCCTCGGCGCCCTAGGGCCTAGGGCCGCGGCTCGCGACAAGGCGCGGTGGGCGTTGAACCGCAGGTCACCTCCCCCCTGGCTGCAGCTGCAGCGCACTGTATGCCGACGAGGAGCCCCGGCGGCTCGCGGCCCGCGGCCCGCTCATCAGCTGGTCCCCGCTCCCGCCAGCCAGCGCCAGGGGGTGGTCCGCGTCTAGGCGAGGCCTGTCGAGGGGTGGGCACGGCTCGCCCGGGGGCCGGAAGGGTGCGTCCGCGTGCGTGGAGGAGATGAGGCGGTCTCGCTCCCTCCCCATGCCACGGCCACGGGGGCGACGAGGACGGAGCCGTGGCGACTAGGCAGGCACGCCCTCCGGATGGTGCGGGCGCGGGCTGGGGCCGGGGCGGGGGGAGGAGCCGAGCTGACGGGCCAGGCCCCGCCAGGCCTGAGCCAGCCATCCAATCAGCTATTTTGGTCGGAGCCTAGCGCGCCGCGCTGGGCAGTACATAGCGGCCGCAGCACTGCCGTGTTCCTCCGCTGAACACGCCCCGAAGTAGTCCTGCGACGCGAATGGTCGCTAAAACACCGGGTCGGGTCGCCGGGCCGGACGTAAACGAGAGTCCTAAATCAGGGAGATTCCCTCAGATCGAAGACAGGGCGCTCGAGGACGCCGTTGTGGAGATCACTTACGAACTCGAGTCCGCGGAGGGATACCGAGGGGCAGGCTTGGTGGTTGTCCCGCAGCTGCGCTCGCTCCGCCGTGCCTCGTCCTGTCGCGGTTTGTTTCGGCTTTTCCAGCGGCCTTTTGCCATGGGTATCGAATCGGGTACCTCCCGCGACCTGGCCGTCGCTTGTCGGGTGTGACTGATCGCTCGGCCCACCCGGACTTTTCCAGGGAGCCTCGTCTCAGGTGAGCCATCCTCTTGGCGCCACAGCCCGAGGGGGCGGTCCTAGGCCGCCGAAGTCGCCTCCCTCTTGTTGTCCACTGGGCCCTCCCGTTCCCGTTGGCGCACTCCCGCCTCTTTGGTGGTGTTTGAGAGTCGAGCTAGGCGTCTGCCGTGTCCTGCACCTCTGCACTCAGTGCTGACCGCCGTGTTGCGTCTAGATTCGCCTTTTGCAGTGTCCCCGGGGGAGCTCCTACCCATGTCAAACAGCAATGCCAGAGGTTAGGACCAGCGCTTTGTCAGGACAGAAATGCCCTCCTGTTTTGATGCGGATAGACGCTCCTCGGCGGTGGTGGCGCTGTCCGGCGTCTGCCAGGCGACCGTTTGTTTTGATTGTGAATGATGGCTTGCGTCGGCCGGTGGGCGGTTCAGTTTGTCGGATTTTACGTTCATTATGGCGTGCTTAACCGGGTTGCTTAATTTCGGTGCTAAGGGTAAACAGCAACTGGCGTTTTGGGGTTATGTTGACCTATGTTTGTATGATTTGATCATAGGTTATGGGCATAAGAAATGGATAATAATAAACAAATGAGTTCTTAAAGGATTGTGTTCTAGCCTGTTTTCTATTGCTATCAGATTCCATAGAATTTTAATTTATTTTTCATTTAATTTGATGCAATATTTGTGGATAACAAACATATTAATTTATTCTGTCTGATTGGTTTGTTTATAGGAAACATCTCCTTCACCTCTTGCACTGCTTGCTGCAACTTGCAGCAAGATAGGAAACGCTTCAATGCAGCAAGCTCAGGCTTTGCCGCAAGAGGAAGTTCAAGAGGGTAGCCTGACAGCCTCTCAGGAACAACAGATCACCTTACCGTCTGGACAGCAGATACGAATTGTAAATGCTGCGTTACTACAGCAACTTCAAGCTGTCCAACAGCAGGCAATGCAGCAGCAGCAGTTACAACAACAGGCTGTACAGCAACAACAGCAAATTGTTGAGTCAAATGCAATGGTTGCTGTCAACCCCAAAAGGGAGCCTGGCTCCCCCCCGCCGTCCCCACAGTCAAATGGCCATCAGACCCAGCTGGTTACACTACAACAGCTTCAGTCATTTTTACCTCAACACATGCAGCTGACAAATACAGCTACTCCCCAGCCTCAAATACAAGATGCTGCTCAGCAGGCTGCTAGAGATACCAAGCCCACTCTAGTTTCCCTTCAAAATGTACCAAGTCAATTTATGCAGGTAGGTCAAAAATTACGAAGAGAGAAATCATACATTCAATGTTTCTGCATAACGCTAGTCAATAAACAATAATAATAACTTAAGATCTCGCATGTAACTTTAAGACTGATTTTGTTGTTTTGTTTAACTTCTCCCTACAGCCTCAACAAATAGTGTCATCAGCTGGCCAAAATGTGACATACAACGTAGTACAACCAATGCAAACTGTCACGCTTGATGATCAAGGCTCGGTTGTTATTAATGCGGGTGGTGGAGCAACCCAACAGCTCCAACAGCTGCAACAGTTCCAACTACCAGGGGGCCAAACTTTTCTCACACCCTCAGTTTTGAGGGGAGCTAATGTTTTGCCAGCTTCTAATTTACCAGCTGGTCTTCAAACAGGGCTACTTCAAAACCTTGCTGGTCAAACAATTCAGTTCCCTGGAGGTGAGTAGGATTCTACAACATTCTTCTTTAGTAAGTTTTTGTCATAGCTAGTCACACATTTCTTTTATCGTGTAGGTGGTATGGCAGTGAGACAAGCTGGTGTTGGAGGATTACAACAGTTAGTACAAATGCCTGCAGTGCAACAAACAATACCTGTTCAAGTTCCCATTAGTACCTCAAATGGCACCATTTATCAGACTGTACATCTACCAGTGCAGTCCATGCAAAATGTGCAGCAAATTCCTCAAATGATCCCTCACATGCAGCTTGGCCAAGTACAATTTTGACTTTATCCTTCTTTAAAGATGTTGCTTCCACATGCGTGTAATATAATTTTCCCCTCCCTGCACAGGTTTCCGCTCCCCAGATGGCCCAGATTGTCACCCCATCTGGTCAGATCCAACAGGTACAGTTGACATCACTGGCACAACTTGGAGGTCTCAATCAGCTGCAATTAGCCCAAGCGCAGCAGCAGGCCCAGCAGGCCCAACAACAACAGTCAGTGCAACAAAGTGCCAACAGCTCAGTCACCTCTAGTACCTGGAGTACTTCCACTGTCACTTCTCCAACTGTTTCAGTTCAGGTATAACATTTTGCCCTGGGTTTTCTCTCTCATTCATCACGTCACATTTCTGAGATTGAAGCAGTTACACTTGCTACCACAAATTTTCATTAATTTGTTAATAATGAACAAGTTTACACTCTGCACAAAATTAATTTTGTGTTTTGCTTTTCCCTTGTTTCCTTAAGCTTTCATCATATATTCTATTTACTAGTTTACAATTGTTGTAAGATTGTTCTCAAATTCTTTTCTGCAGACTGTCAATGCTCCCACCATGTTAAACAGTGTTGACGCATCAGGTCAGCCTCAAATATCATTTGCTGGAGGTCAAGTTGTTCTTCAGCAGCACCAACCACAACAACAGCAGATAACTCTTCGTAAGTGATTGCATATTTTTTAATTTTTTTTTTGGAAAGTTATTACTTGTACTAGTACTACAGTATTAATATTTGTTATATTTTTTTTATCACAGCAAATGGACAAGTTGTCACTGTGATCCAGCCTAGTCCTAATATGACAAATGTTGGTGGCTTAACCAATATTAGCAATTTAACTCAAGTCAGACCTAACGTATTTCAGGTTAGTTTTATTAAATATGTACCATCTGTGTATCTTTCATGCATTAGTTTTTTTAATGTATAGCTTTCTTCACCAGATACAAAATTTATCAAACATGGCGAATGGGGCAAATGTGACCAATCTGTCAAATCTTCAGTCATTTCCCATTCAGAATATTCCAGGTCTAGGAAATGTCCAATTGATACCCGCTAGTGCCTTGTCATTAGCACAACAGTTAGGGTTGAATGCACAACAGCAGCAGCAACAGCAGCAGCACCAGCAGCAACACCAGCAGCAGCAGGCCCAACAGCAAACTGTGCAGGCTCACCAAGTTCAGGTTCAATCCCAACAACTGCAACCACAGCAGCAGCAAGTTCAGCAGGCTCAGCCACAAGCTTCTGCTGTAGTCTCCCTTCCAGGTGGACTTCAAATTATGAGTGAGTCAAAATCAAGTTTGTAGCTTGGTGCTTGAAGCTGTGCAGAAAGTTCTGAAAGCCAGATGTTGCCAAAAATTGGTGGAGACAAAAATAGTCAACTTATTTTGTTACATATTTCTTGCAGCTCAACAATCTCAGCAAGTTGCTGCAGATAGTGGTGATCAAACAGTTCAATGGCAAGTTGTTAATTCATCACCAGCACCTGCTCCCGCTCCCACACCCTCAGTTAGTACCTCTTCAGGTCGAAAAGAAGGGAAGCGCCAACGACGAGTGGCTTGTACATGTCCTAATTGTAACGACTCTCGGGAAAGGTATGTCCTGATACTTATCAAAGATTTGGTTTCTTATCTTGTTTTGGTGTTGACATTATTTTCCCCTCATATATTCCAGGGGTGGAGAGAGACGTAAAATTCATATTTGTCATGTAGCTGGTTGTAATAAAGTGTATGGGAAGACATCTCACTTACGCGCTCATTTACGGTGGCATTCAGGAGAAAGGCCATTTATTTGCAGTTGGAATTACTGTGGAAAGCGATTTACAAGATCAGACGAATTACAGGTAACTTATCATTCAATTAAGAAATTTAGTGCACTAATAGAAAAATCTCTGAAGCTTCTTTTTCTCTTGATTTTGTTCAGAGACACAGGAGAACACACACTGGAGAAAAGAGGTTTGCATGCCAAGATTGTGACAAAAAGTTTATGAGGAGTGATCATCTTAGTAAACACAACCGAATCCATGCCAAACAGAGGAGAGAAGGTCTCCCTGTTGGTCCTGTGGGTCCAAATGAAAACTCTGTAAGTTCCTACAATTTTCCAATATCATGAACTTTTTATATTTCTTAAAGTTGCTTCTCATGTTTTACTAACAATGATGTGTATTTTAGGAGCAAGAAATGGCTACCTCTACTCAATCAGGGTCTGAAGATGAAGATGATGGATCTGATGGTGAGGAAAGTGGCTCATCTGGAGATGAAGATATGAAAATAATTATTAACCCAGAGCCTGACCAATCTGATGTGGCAGAGCCCCTTGAAAGTCCACAAATGGCCAGCTGAGTGTGTCTTTTGCGTCCTGAATCTCCATCAGGACGCATATCTGGCAACAGTGATGAAGACCTATTCGTTCTATCTGCTGCTAGTATTCTTGATAATGATATGAAGTCAGAAAATGATTTTACTGACATCATTAGCATGGATAGAACTGATAATTGCAGTTCCCAACAATATACTGAGTTTGGAGAGACCTCTGTCAGGAGAATGCACCTCAGAAGTGATGGAACTTGTCAAGCGTCAAGTGTATTAGACGGTGCCTTATTGAATGAAGAAATGTTGAATGTTCCTTCAATCCAAGTTGGAGTTAGTGAAAATTTTGATTCCTTATCAGGATTCTCTCCTGGGTACAGTCTTCGATCAAGGAAAAGTAATATATGATAATGAGTTCCTTACTGTTGAATTGAAAGAGTAGAACATTGTATGCACTGCAGAGCGCATCTTTTTTACCTAACTCCATATTTGGTATTCCCGTAAGTTTAAGGTTTTATTTGTTGTGTGATTGTGTACTAACATGGGAACTGTGTGTACAGTAGTTACCTCAAGAATGCTTGTAGATGTTGATTTCAATTTGGTTGGTTGGTTTGTTTTTTTAAATTTTTCTTCCTTTTTTTTTCAACAAACCATCACAGAATTTTTTCAGTACTATAACTTTTTGAACCAAAGATCACTGAAATACTGCAATTCTGTAACAGTATTCCATTTTATCTATGATTCTCATGCAATGGTCTTTGAGCTTATCTGCAGACAGTGTGTGTAGTAAATCAATTTATATTATGAAAGGTACCTAATGTCTGTAATTCTTAAACTGCCAATTTGGTGTTTAGAAGTCTGTGCTACCTAGTATCTTTTTTAGCATTTACATTTTGTTATAAATGTACTATTGTGCTACCTCAAACCATCAATTTAATCTTCAATTTTTTAATTAGTTCTTATTGAAGGTCCCGTCCAACGAATGTGCACTGTATACTTAAACCATCAGTGTTCCTTCACTGATGGGGGCCAAAAATGTTGTCTTCACATGATATTTTATTAAATGTGTTCGTTTTAAAATAGAATAAGTTATTCGAGTTAATGAGCATAGAGACTCATTGTTTGTCTGTGATAACTGGCTGTTTGACTTTAACATTGCCTGCATCTGTTTTTATTGTTATAATTTCTTCTCTGTCATCTCATTTATTAGCTTAAGTTTAATTTTAGTAAAATGTTGGAAATCTCTTCAATCAGTAATGTTAATTCAGACAGAATGCATGTAACTGGTCAGTTGATTCAGTTTTTCCAAAATTATTTTCAAGGCAGATACCTTTCTCAGCTGGACCTGAAAAAGAGTATTTATATTGTGCTTCCATGTTTTTTTTTGAAATTCTCTCCATTGTGAGGCTTTTATACCAAAGTTAGTGCCATTGATATTTTGTTTGAGGAACCAACTTTTTGCTATTTCAACATAGTGTTAAGATATTTGTCGTCAAAAGTGCTGGTGTTTTTTTTTTGTTTTTTTTTAAGAGCCTATTACCACATCCTCTGGCTTTAGGTGTGCAAGCTAATTGTCCGCAGCCTTTACCATTCAGTAAATTGCATTGCAAGGTCATAATAAAAAGCTATTAGTTCAACTTATGTGTATTCAAAATACTGCTGTTGGCACTTTTCATCCAATTAAACATTTCGGGACAGAAGGTGAAAAGATAAAAA